TATGTTCCCTCCAACGTGGCTATGCAGTCCAGGGCAATGATAAGATCGTACTTTTCTGCAGTGAATATAGAGATTGATTGATTGTGAAATGACATATTCTTTTTTAACACCAACACAAGGGTCGTAATAGGCGCAGCCTATCCTTCTCCCTATGAGCGAACCTTCAGTGAAAATTAAATGGAAGTTGGGTACGCCTCGTTTATATCTGCCGTAAAGCCTTTGTCCCCGATTTGAGGTGTCTGGGTAATGTTTTAAAAACATTGTTGACACTGTGGTTAACGTCTTGTTCAGTTGCAAAAGAAGTAAGGAGTTAAGGAAGGAAAAGGCTTAACTTATGAAAACTGGCATATAAGAATGTGCATGGCTGCATAACAATTTTGAGGGTTGAAAATAAAAATTTAAAAAAATTTAAAATTACAAAGAGAGAAATGATAAACATTATTTGAAAGTTATAATTAATTAAGGTTTTTAGTTGAGATAAAAAAGTCAATTGCACTAGCGGGATTCGAACCCACGATCTTCGGCTTGATACGCCGCTTGAGCTATCGTGACTTCGATCCACTCGGACACCAACTTACCATCTCAACCGCACCTTTTGAATTTTCCCTCCTTTTTGCCATTTTTCAAATGTCGTGTAATCGGATTGGAATCTCGACGACAAATGAAATGGCCACGGAGAGCTTTAGTGATGTATACTTCATTTTAAATCATTAAATTCGCTAATTTCGTGGTCCCTTGACCAATTAATATATTATAATTAATTAAGGTTTTTAGTTGAGATAGAAAGTCAATGGCACGAGCAGGATTCGAACCCACGATCTTCGGCTTGATACGCCGCTGCTATTAATATATTATTAATTATAATATAATAATTGGTTAAGCGGACCACGAAATTAGTGAATTTAATTATTTGAAAGGTGAAGAATGTGAAGAACTGGGGTGGTTGATCGGGGAGATATCATTATCTGTTCCGTAGAACGAGGATCGGCGTAACAGAGATATTTGAACTATTTGCTCTCTAAATTTTTTAGGTGGCTTTCCACAACTGTTAGTAAAGTTTCTAGATTTGGTTATTACGAATATTTCATTGAAATAATTTTCATTTAATTTGTTTTCCCGTTGAATGTTCTGTCTTGTTTTCATGTTGTACTATTTTCTCCATCAGCTGGCATTTTATTTAACTGGCAAGCAAATATGGTGTTATTTTTCATAGTAATCTGGGATAATGTATAATAAGTAATTTTTTGCATAAATTTGAAGTAGTTACTGAGGAAAAATCATTTCTAACTTTGGCGCTGCGTCTTATTAACTACATATTTACATGCAAAGCTCTTTCTTCTTGACGGGTGTTAATGTTATTGAAGAAGAAACATAATACGAATATTAGTGAGTAATGAAATGTGCGATTTCTTTGTAACTGAAAAGGCCCAAAAAAATAAATATTCACTAATATTGATTTACTTCGATTCCTATGTTTTAAATTGTTTTTATTATTAAATGAAACATTTTAATTGTAAATTTTACACTTTTTATCTGATTCTTTAAATAAAATAGTTCTTGAGTTCTTGTTCCTTAAAATATGTTGTTTTTTGTGAATTGCGTGACTGTCGTACAGCGGTCTTTTGATCGCCCCCTAATTAGGAAGGAGGTTAAAATGTCAAACCCGCCTGATTTCAGCATGAGGTCTATAAAGTCGTCGAGTTCATGTGCTTTAGAAGAAAAAAAAAGAAACAGCACACAAAATCACGATTAGCATTTAATTCAGCAAATATAGTTACAACGGTATTAGCAATAAACTGATAATACGCTAATACCAGACGTCTCATCATTTTTCGCCCTATGAGATCTTTACTAACGACATCACCACGTAGTTTTTATTTTTTTATTTTTTTAAATATAATTCTCGGGAGAATGTGGTGTTACCTAAAACAATACTTATAAGGATTTCATTTCTTTTTCTTTTTTTTTGTCCCCTGGGTTTCCTGGGGTCACTGGTGGTTATGGTTTTCCTTGATACCACTTGCAATTACTCCTAGTGATGGGTTTAGTGGGGAATTGAACCATCATAATTTCCATACCATACAAAAGGATGTAATCTTGTGTTGAGCACTTTCCGGGTTCCTTTTTGCTAATTTCGCTCTCATTTCCCTTCGTTATTGCCTTCTGAGAGAGAGGTAAAGTTTTATATTACTGTTTGAGATGCTCAGAAACTTCTTCGAATGTTTGAGCCTTGTTAATTTATCCTGTGTCTGGTCATTCCTTTCCCATTACATTTCTTCGCAGTTGGTTATTATTTTTCATATCTGAATTTTTGATGAGTAGTAATACACTAAAAAACAGAATGGAAAAACCTCTGCGCTCGTTGAAATCAAAATAACCCTGTTAAATTGTGGCAGTCCCTAGTCCACGTAGAACGGTTTGAAAACGAAAAATGTCAAACTGACAAAACTACAAATAGGTCATACCTTTTCAATTATAGAAGGCTTGACGTATATAGACAATGTTTTGGCATATCATCGGACAGTGGGTAGTCTTGGGGCACGGCAGGAGACCAAAATCGCTGTTCGGGTACCTCAGGGCTACAAAGATTTTTAGATGTATAAGGTGTTTATGTATGTTTGTGTTGTGTCTGTCTTGAGTTTATATCCACCCAGGGAGTCGTAGCCCATTTAATGAGGAACTACGACGACGACGGCTGGTACAATATGGTTAAGGCTCGTGCCCAAAAAAGGTGTCCTCATCCACGTCCCTTTCTCACTCCAGGTTCCTTAATTGTTCCCTGTGACCCCTCCCAACCCTTGTTTAAAGGGGGGGGGTGTCCGGGCGCGAAATCATGTTGCAGCCCTGAGGGCGTGGCAACTTCTCTAAAGCACAATCTGTACTCGTGTCGGTCTCGGGTCGGCATGGGGCGACGGGTGCCTTATCAGAGGACACGAAGGTTAGGGTAACAGATCCTGTCTACATAGTCGGGGGAGGGTGCATAACCATCTCTACTAAGGGGTAACAGAAATTTTCCAAGACTCAGCCCCTGTTACAATGGGAATGGACTCGTAGTTGACTGTGGTGAGGCTGTCTTCTATCTGTGACCTTTGCACGAAACTTGCGCATGACTATCGTTATACACCCGGCCTCACGGGATACGACGGATCGGACGGCAGCGTATAAGCGTTGAGGACGCTTGATTACGCTGAAAAGTCCCACCAATGCGAGAGTAGTGGCAGATGGGAATGGGTAGTGAATCAGTTGCTCCTACTCGAGTAAGCTTTGCACGTAGGCTTTTACCGTAGGCGGTCCCCTCTAGGGGGTGGTTAGAAATTTCACTTTAAACAAAATCGCGGCCGGAGCCGATCCGGTAGTTTCTACGCTTGGGAACCCCACGACTCTGGGAGATAGAGTGGCCTTCTCTTTCTAGGGAGCGCGGGGAGAATAGGCTGATGTATTTCGGCTTCGGTAGCACTTTGCGCGCGGCATACGGTTCGATGCTTAATGCGGACCCGACCACTCGGAATGGGCAAGCGAGGATGAGGTTGTCTTGCCCCCCCCCGGGGCTGAGCTGCCTCTTCGGCAGTAACACCTTTCTGTCGTATGCGGAGGGTGCGTCAGCTCTCATCTTGAGAATCAAAACGTCCGATAAGGCCGAATAGGCTAGGTGGGGACGTTAAAGATCCCATTGTCCTTTTCAGGACGACCGAGTATACGGGAAAGCAATGTCTTGACTTTATGTTAATTAATTGGAATAAATGTAATTTATTAGCGTCAAAGGAAGTGAAGAATAACGTGAAAGTTGTTTAATCCCTCTTCGAGGAATGTCGAGTACTCTGGAGCGAGGGAGTGAGTCTAAAGAGTAAAAGTAAGTTGATAGCGTGAAAGGAAGGGGTTTAACCCCGCCTCGAGGAATATCGAGTACTCTGGGGTGAGTATGCGACATCTGGAGAGTAAAAGTAAGTTATTAGCGAGAAAAGAGTGGGTTCAACCCCGCCCTGAAGAATATCGAGTACTCTGGGGGAGTGAATGTGGCAAGACTGCTATGTTTCTATCATGTGTTGTATTTATGTTAATTTAGTGGAATGAAATTAATTTATTAGTGTGAAAGGAGGGGTTGTTTAACCGCGCTCCGAGAAATATCGAGACATCTATGTTTGTGGTGACGTATATGTATGTCACGTTCAGATTTAAATGAACCGCCATGCCCCTCCACACACTCAAACAGTGATAGGAGTAGTGACCAAGAAAGGGCTATTTTTTTCAAGTCGTAGAACAGATCCCTTTCTGGCTTGTGTGGGTAAACAACTATTTTTGGTAAAAATAAAAATTTGGTGGGCACACTATTCAAGTAAGTTAATTTTATTACTTTGACGTCAAAATTTTAATAATAATAATAATAATAATCTTTCAACCGAGAATAAAATTCCATTTTAAAATTAAGGTTTGTAGATTTGAGATAGGTTTGTTATTGTATAAAAGGATTCTTTAAATTAAAAATAAAAATTAATAAAATATATTGTCATTATATGTGAAAATAAATTGTAATTAAAGATTAAAATTTAAGAAACATTTGGTGTCGTATTTACTTTGGTTTAAATGAAATATAAAAGGTGCCTGATCGATAAATGAAATTCTATCGTAGTCAGGTCCGATCGTAAAAAATCTCTGGGACCTTGATTTCGGTTTTCCGAAATCAGGGTTGGGCCCAACAAAAAAAGAAGAAGAGACACGCTATATCACATGTATATGTATTGTATGTTTTACTTATATTCGACAACCGGAGGTTCAGTCGAAAGGCTAGTATTTTAGGATACATAGTATATTAGTATTGTAGTATACATATAAAAGAAGAGAGTCAGTAACCAGATTGAGAAGCTAAAATGGCTGCAGTTTAAACCAAAGTACGCGTAAAAGACCTGTACAGTGACCTTAGGTTTTTGTCGGTTCATAAACATCCTACTTTATGAATATAGCACTTCAAAACTATACGGCAATTAAACAAAATTAATTCCATATAAAACCTATTGCATGCTACTATGCTGTACTGTTATTTATTATGGCAGTGTTTAGGTTTCTACATTTGTCAAAACTTTTAAAAATCAACTACAAAATAAATATTAGAATAAACATAATAATTCCAATATTTGTTAAATCTTATGTCATTTTGGCTCTAGCAGTAAAAATGTATTACAATAATTAGACGTATTAAATACGTAATAATAATAGCATTAATTCTTCTTGTTTTTCTTAAGCGGAGCAAATGCTACTGATCTCTTCTCGACGTTAAAGATCGTGTAGAAGTTTCCTAAGAAAGCATCACCGAGAATCCATGGATAATTAGAGTACGGGATTGGCCTGAAATTCGTGGTGCACAAATCACCTTTCTAAAAAGGAAAAAAAAACATAATTATAAAATAAATAAAAAATAATCTTGTTGCCAATTGTTGGAAAAACATTTCATTCAATTATATCGTACCCAAAATTTGGTGTAATCCCTCGGGCCCAGTTTGTACGGTTTACCTTTGATATGGAAAGTAACGTCTGGAAGACTGTCCACAGTGCTGCATTTCACCTAAACAAAATACATTAATTATTGAACAGAAAAAACACTTTATACAGTTAATAATTACAGTTGGATAATGTCCAGACATAGTTACTCCAATCGTATCGTGTATTGTTCGGACATACTTATCCGGTCCAAGTATTGCTGTTGTACCAGTATCAGCAAGAGCGTCGTAGCTCCTTTTATACGGATCTTTGTTTACGTCGGTTTGGTTATTGCTTTTTCCGACGGTAATCCTTTAAACAAACCTTATACATATCTTATACATATGCATATCTTGCTATGTTTTTGATTAATGTACCTTTCTATGGAAAATTGCCAAGCAGTTTTATCATTTAGAGGGATATAGTTGATATCATTTGAATCGAACAAGTCCGCGTTCCAACCTCCTAACACAATTTCTCCGCCGTTCTCGTCGTTATGGTCTCTGCGATTTGAACAAGCATTAGAGTTTGCTGAAAATTCAATGAAATTATGCGGAATAACCTGTTTAAATAGAAGGAGAAGAGGTTTTGACTGAGGAGCCCTTGGTCCATCATTAAAAATAAAGGTGGTCGAACGTCGGCGTCTGCATTTTCTGGAAAACCCAAGCCGAAAACTCCGTCGGCCCTTAGATTTTCCAATCCCTTTCCGGGGAAATGTATCGCCTCTCCAAAAGTTACGTTCTTGACCTCAAGTTGTCCAATCTTTAAATTGATTCAAATATTAAATAAATAAAAAATTGTTTGAAAAAGTGTATTGTCAGAAACAAGTACCTACTCTTAACGTATCTGAAGAAAGAATACCAACAATTTTTCCCTTTAAGTAATTGACGGTTAATACCTTCCCATTTTCTATGTATGTTGTAGATGAATTGCCATCATAATTATTGTGTTTTTCTGAGATAACAAAATCAATTAAACCCAATTGTAAATACGCCAAAAACAAATTTCTCTTACTACAAATAAACGATGCGCAGCTCGAAGAAGGCACCCACAAATTTGAAGACCCAGTATCGAATATCACAAGAAAGTTTTGTTTTGGAGTTCCAAGAGATATTTGTCCAAAATACTGAACCTGTTTGCAAATAAATATTCTGTATCGAAATCAATTTTCAAAAAACCCAGACTTACATTTCTGTAGTTTTTCAAAGGTGATTTTACTCGTGACCCTCTTGGCAGATGACACAAATCGATAAAGTTTTGATATGAACTTTTTATTTCGATAGGATCGACAGGAGGAAGATCTTTAAATTTCACTAACGGCACGCTAAATTAAATTTGCAAATTAAAATTTTGAACTCTGCGTACAATTAAGCCTATACTGACCTCACAAAAGCGTGGCTTTCAGAAAGACCAACTACTAAAGCAACAAATAATACACTCTTCATTTTGGAAATGTTCGTTGATGGGACAATCCGCAACATTTTAATTTTTATACCAATTCTGATTGTTTTGTTTATACAAATTAAGTGTTTTACTTTGAAGTATTATGTGCAATATTGTTTCCATTACCGATGACCTTCTTGCGACTAAACAGAGCGGCATGATATCAAAAATAAATCGACAAGGTTTGGTAACAATACTCGACAAATTAGTAAATATCGCAAGCAATAATTGTGAACATTTTGGATATTTATTTTGCTTTTAATATCTGTAGGTAATACATAACAAGTAAAACCAATTAACATTGCATCATTGATTACAACGTTTGTTGGTCAACTCACGTAAAGCAATGAATTTTGTACGAAATAATTTCATATTTTGCGAGTGAAACTAAAAACTGTTTCATACTGCATAATTTCAATGTATTTCATGACAAAGTACGAATTAAAATAACACAATTATTTTCCTAGATTGTTAAGCATTGATTCTACGTAAAATATGCACACAGATTTTTCTACCCTTATTTATGTTAATGTGCAAAAACTATCCAACCTATGTAACAAAACATAAATACATAACACTGCATTAAAGAAACTGAACATAATTTGACATATGGATGGAGCAAAGAATATACATCGAGATTAGTGACAAAATGTGTCCCATTATTTAAAATATTACTTATGCATTTAAAAGGTACAAATAGGGCTTTAAGCCCACTTACCTGTGCATATATTAGAAATAAATCTCGTTTTCTAAGCAAAGTAAAATAATAATAAAACATAGATTATACAAATCAATAATGACAGTAATATATTCTTTAAAATATTCATTATTTATGATCGTATGGTGAAACCATATTACGAAAGAAAATCAGAATAAGAAAAAACGAAACGAGGGAAGAAAAGGTAACGATTCCTGTCGTTTTTAAAAACTCAGATTTCATGGACTTGAAAGAAGCAGACGAGGAAGCAGGAAGTACTTCACGGGTAGGCAAATTCTAATGTCTTGAACCTGCAATTCTGAAGGGTAAGGCTAAAGGTTTAGAGGACTCGTGAATGCTTGGGATATGGTTGGTGCGTTTGGTTAAGGAATGAAAGAAAAAATTAATTGATATTGACTACTTATATTTGATTTAATTGTTAGGTTTACGGTCTATAAAGGTGCCACCATCTTACTTAAAAATATGCCAAGTTATTATCGATCTTGCACCAATTCTATCTAAAGTGTGGGAGTCCTTGTATAATAACAGATTGCTCCACTTTTTACCTGTTAACCAAACTCTTGTTTACGCCTGAAATTAATTTATATATTATATATTTTTATTTTAATAAATTATTTTTTTGGTCCCGTTGCTGCGTTAACCAAATATTTACACTTTGGGTGTCTTTGAACACCAGTGTTTACAGGTCACTGTTGCCACGGCAATTTGTTTTGTATTTTTCATCGCCATGGAAACTGTTTTCTTTTTGTCAAGTGACTTCACTAGTCGGGTCTAAACCACCAAGGAGACAATACAAAGTTTTAAAGTCGTAATGTTACAGTCTTATGTTCAGATAGATTATATTCAGTTATCATTATTATTATTATTATTATTAGACTGCCGCACTATGGTGTACTTCTTGATATACAACGTCTGTCATTTTTTCTTCCCACTCAGCAGCATCAGTGGACCCGACTTCAGACTTTTCCGCACAACTACTAAGCTAAATCGCATTTGTACATTACTACAATTCACAAGTTAACTTTTATTTTAATTTACATACATCCGTTGCATCTTTAATTTAACTTTTGTTTTTTTCTTCTTTCTATACTATAATTAATTAAGGTTTTTAGTTGAGATGAAAAAAAGTTGAAAAATGGCAAAACGAGGGAAAACTCATAAGGTGGGGTTGAGATGAGGAGTGGGATCCGAGTGGATCGAGGTCACGATAGCTCAGGTGGTAGAGCAGCGGCGTATTTAGGCGAAGGTCGTGGGTTCGAATCCCTCTCGTGCCATTACCTTTTTTTCATCTCAACTAAAAACCTTAATTAATTGTCATGTATTAATTGGTAAAGCGGACCACGAAAGTAGTGAACTACTACTACAATTTTATTTATTGGTTATACGATGTTTACTTCTACCGTAAATTACGTTTATTTTTCCTTCTTAAATATATATTTTTATTTATATTAGATAACATTTTATTTGATAAGTTATTGCTTAAATATGCAAAAGCTCTAGATCCAGCCGGGTGAGTGGTTGAGTGACAAAGTGTTGAAAATAGATCTGGCAACACATTTTGAGGTTACCACCCACGAACAGTGTGGGTCGCTGAAGGCGCAACAGCTTTCGTAAATAATTAACTTAATTTCCATGGCTTAGGTACTGTTGATATGCTGGCCAAAAGGCAACCCGCCCATAATACGGTAATACAGTAGTATGTAAATAGTACTATGCCTAGCAGTAACTCAGTTGAATCGGCAATTACGAATTTTAAAAATGGTTAAACTATTACACTCACCACAGTTATTTGGATGCTATTGTAAAGAAAAAACGTGTGGTATTTAGTGACCGTTACTTGATGATTATTTGGAGGTCGTGAGATGCGGTCTGGTGTGACGTAGGTTTTAGAAAAACTTTTTCATTATCATGCCAACGTTTGATCTTTACTGAGATCATCTTCAGGGCTCAAAGGGTTTGTTTTCCGTGTAGATGTGTCATTCTTGTATGCCGTGTTGAGAGAAAATATTTTTGATTATATAAAGAAAAAACGTTAAGCTGAAAAGTTGAATGATAACAGGTATATTGAATTCGATTAGAAATAGGGATAAAATGAATAATGAAAATCTCTTAAAAATCCTTCTTTAGTTAGTTTTAAGTCCAATCTTTATAGAAATATGTTAACATTATAAAAAAAGATCAAATCCAAGTTTTACAAAGAACAAATATCTAATTCAAAAAATGATGTCAAAAATATATAAATAGTACAATGTTAATTAATGACAGATGTTGCCAATCCTTTTTAAATAAAAAATAATTTAAAAAAGAATAAATTATTAATAAAAAATTTAAAAAAGAAATAATTTCTAATAATTTTTATGATGTTGCCAATTCTTCTATTGGTACTAACTCATCAACAGCAAACATTAACAGTAATTTTCTCAATTTTACATAACAATGATTTGAAAACTAATACTTATTTGAGGGCCAGACCGCCAGAGGCGAATCAACGCCCCAGGCAAGCTCTCGTTTACGCTTTCCTTTGTGACATTTACTTTGTGGTTTCCATTCCCTTTGTTATGAATAAAAACCATTTACAAGCTTAATATTACAGATATGGAAAAGTTCATATTCCGGGGTCAAACTGCCCAAAGCCAAAGCTAACCCCGAACTCTGTCCCGCCCCAGCCAACAAAACCCCCGGACTATCCCAGGGACTCGACCTTAAAAGGCGACACAGCTTTTCGCCTTAAATGCCAATATCTTGAAAAAAATGGCATCAATCACTTGATCCAGATTGTCACTTTCATTCACAAGGACACTATCCAAATTGAGTGGCTTGCTAATCTCCCTCAACTTGTACACCCTACCAAAAAGGACTGGAGGAGTTCCTCATACTCCGGGCAATCAAAGATAATGTGTTTAATGTTCTCCGGCTAATCAAGTCACACAGTCTGAAGAAGTTCTAAGGTTTATTCTGTGCACGTATGCTTCACAGATATAGGTGATTCGTTCGGATCCGAGATATTGTCGAGAAAAAAAAATTGTGGCCAGTTTTTGACGCTGAGACCCGTGGGTTCGGACGTAAGTCGGTGAATAGAGATTTATAGACATTTCCGTTTCTCATTTGTACCCTGATACGTCAGTCCTCCAACCATTGTTTGTTCAAAATTTGTTGGGTGTCAATTTTGGTCAATTTGATCTCATGGTAGTCCCATACTCGGCCGCATTTAAATTGTTTTATTATAAATTATATTTTGATTGAGAATTTTACTATTTTTTAACTGATCCTTTCAATCAAATAGTTTATCTTATTCATTGAAACATTAAAAAGAATTATTTTATTTGGTTTTTGAGAATCGCGTGACGGTCGCACATAGGTCTTCTGATCGGATCCCAAGTAGAAAAAAATCGCTATGACTAATTTAAGTATATGATGACAGTAATTTTCGAACAGCCCGTCAAAGTAACATCCACAATATTAATAAGGACAGAGTTCCAGCCGCCAACTCGCCCTTCCTCTAGACCGATGAGGAGGCAGCATACTTGGAGGGAAGAAGCCTATGGGAGAGTGGAACTGGGCTTGATCGGAGGTGTTTGAACAGTCACGTTTATGCGACAAAACAGAAAGAAAAAAGTGTTCAACGTGTATAAAAAAAATCAAAATACCGTACTCCTATAGGCCTACAGCCTCAAACACGATGGTTGGTACTAGTTCCTAATTTACCAATTATCAGGACCAGGATCCACTGCCTCTTGACACAGAAAACCTACCACTTTAAAACAAACCTTGTTAAAAACAGTTTAAACTGAAATTTTAGGATCGCCTGTAATACTCAAACAAGGCAAACCCACCCAAAGGCAGCAGAAACTCGTGCAATTAATAAAAAAACCATTGAACAAAAGCTTGATAAAGACCTCTAAACACATTTTAACTAACAGAAACCAAATAAAACCGGCGACCCCAATCTTCTACGCCCTAAATCATTTTCCCGATAGCAAACACTTCTTATGAGGAGAAAGACCATACACCTATTAAAAGAATTAATTTAAAACAGATATTTAGTTAACGTTTTCAACCTATTACCATCGTTTGCCTTTCGAATTTCTCACAAGATAACAATTCCTCGCTTTTCACTTCCTTTGAAAAAGTAAAAACCCGCTATTGAAACAAAAATTGAACACCTTTAATTAAATAACAAAACAACAACTCCAAAGATTACAGTTGTATAATTTGTTGACGGGCAATCAATTATTAATTTTTTATTTATTTCTTTTATTTTTATTTAAAGCAATAGTAAAAATAAACATAGATAGAAAATAAATTATACATACGTTTTGTCAATAGTA